GCGTTTATATGCTTCTTCCCACGCAGCAAGATTACCAGTAGTAGGTACTTTCATTAAACGTAATAACCTGCGGATACGCTTTTGCTGTGCCATTCGGCCTAATGTATTTATATATTATTATTGCACTTTATTTTTTATTTTTTTATTTTATTTTATTTTTTTTCCTATTTTTATTTTTTTAATTGCAGCAAATATTATTAGATTATTTTACCTGGAACTACGTAAGACGACGAAGACAATTCTAAATATACATTCATATTTTCTACAATTGGTAATTCAGATGGAGGTGCTGATTGTACATCAACTTCATCAGACGCAAGTTCCGTAGTCAACTGAGCTTCAATACATAAATGACGGAAACAATTCACCGCCATTTGACATATATCCGTATCTGCAGAACACAATAACACTAACAAAGCAATTTCCAATGCAACATTGCAACCGAGACGTTCAGGTGCATTAATTCCAACATTCGTTTCATCCTATTTGGTATAGGAATACATTCCATTATATAACGAACTTTTAATAATATAGATTTACTGGTTATTCAATTAAAACTAGTTATGACATACCTTATGAGCTTTCAGAAATTCATTTCGACGATTGAAGAGTTGAAGTAAAAGTTCAAGCAAATACTTTGTTCCTTCATCACGTTCTTTGAAATCCAAAATCTGTCGAGAAATAACGAGCATTACTTGGGAACTTTTTTTAAAAAAATAAATAATAAATAGAATGATTAATAAGTTGATACATTAAGATTTAAAAGTTCAATATAATAATATCTTTCTTTACCTAATTGTCCAAAAATTACGCATTTTTCGATCCTTTGGACCCCATTGTTCAATCAGTTCCATATTATGCAATTCTAACAAAGTTTCTGCTGCAGTGGTCCGAATTGCACTATTATAATCATTAACACATAGAGTCATTCCATGAATAACCAACCGAATCTCCTCAGGGTTTTCATTAGGATCACTATACTGTTCGAAATAAATTCAATAAATTCAATTAAAATATGAAAATATAAAATTTTAACAAACATACTAACCACAAGAGCAAGCATAGGATCCGACTTATATAATTTCAATATATTTAATATTATTTCCATTTTTTCATTCAACTCATCTGCTCTCTCTCTTGGTAACCTCCTTCTTCTTGGATCATTATTTCTATCTCGACTAGCAATGTATTGATGAAATAATTTACGTAAAGGTACCGCAAGAATTGAATATACCGAAGAAAGATGCGGATTCCATGGAAACCTATTTTCCTATTAGAATTAGAGAATCATATTAATAACCAAAAATTTATAGCAAAGATTTATTACAAAGATTTAACACAAGGATTTACCATAAATTTAATAGTAATAAATATCTTACCTCTGAAGCGATAGCATAGCAACTTTTCACTAACACTAATTTAAACGTAGTTGGTGCAGTTTCAGCTAAACAAACTGGAATCAAATTTTCTAAAGTTTCTTTATTTAATCTGAATAAAGCTGTCAAACACTCAGTCATAAGTTTTTGATCAATTTGTTGATCATTTGTAAATGGTCTCCCAGGATCAAATAATTTCATCTATTTAGAATGTATTAGATAAAAATATGATAAATAAATAAATAAATAAATATATATATATATGTATGTATCTAAAGTTTATAAAAAAAATTATTTTAAATAGCTAATTTTACCTGCAAATCTTTTTCAATTTCAGGAACCAATGACCTTAAAGCGGAAGCTTCATTCTTGGCAATATAGGTGGAAGCTTTACATATATCGACATAACATACTGCAGCGACGTCAGCAAGTCGAGGTTTCTTTAAAGAATTTCTTAAAGCTTCAAGAAACGCTGCCTGAAAACATACAGATAATAAGTAAAAATAATAATAATAATAATGATAATAATAATAATTAAAAGATTTTATAAATTTAGCATATCAGCTAGCCTTAATAAGTGCATCACGAGAGTTTTGTTTAAAGTGTTTTATTTTCGGATTATCATGCGAGCTCGTTGTTGAATGCAAATTATATAAGAATAGCATCTTTTTATGAAATGAATCAATTATTCTAACAAAAATATTTTCTTATTAGATAGATCTAGATGAGAATACTTTGGACGCAGAAACGACTGCAACGCCCGCAGCAGCGGGGCCAAAACTCTCAAGACGTGAACGTAACAACGCAAAAGGTCGACAAAAGGATATAGAATTTGCAACAGAAATAGGGCAAGGCTTGTTGATCGAAGTTAGACGTTTACAAGCTTTACTACAAGAAAAAGAAGAACGAATAAAAGAACTTGAGATTGATAAATCTGAATTTGAACGTACTATTGAACAGCTTAACAAAACAATACGAACGAACAAAGAATCAGAAGGTACAATAATTCAATGATATGCTGAGCAAAATATTATGTATTTTAAATTTTACTTTTTTTACTAGAACGGTTAAATGAACAAATTTGGTCTCTTGAACTTGC